AAGCCTAGATAATCAGGTCGTTAAAGGCTATATAAAATACGAGTCAAAAAATAAAAATCAAGTGGGCTGATAAATGTAACAGATATCCATATATACTTTTTTGACAAATATAATTAAAAGACCTACACCATAACGACTTCAATTTACATACGCAATAAAGAACGGCACAAAAAATAATATAAATTAACAGATATATCAAGATTGTGCCTTCCTTCTCTTTTCAGTCCCCTACCGGTTTACCAGAGAGGAATTTAGATTAACCCTCAGTCCGTATGTCCGTCCATCAGTCCGTCCGTCCACAAAACTGGATCGAGCGATAACGCAAAAAGTACTGAAAATATTTTTATGAAACTTGATATATGGATAGATGGCAGTATGGGGATTATGCCATATCTTTTTTTTCTTCCTATGTTGAAAATTCTGGTTGGTATGGCAACAAAAATACTGAAAATATGGCAAGTTTTAGACATGATCTGGATCCAGTGACACCGCAAAAAGTACTGAAAATATTTTTATGAAACTTGATATATGGATAGATGGCAGTATGGAGATTATGCACGTCTTTTTCTTGTCTTCCTATGTTGAAAAGTTTGGTTGCTATGGCAACAAATAGACTGAAAATATGGCAAATTTTAGACATAATCTGGATCCAATGATACCGCAAAAAGTACTAAAAATATTTCTATGAGACTTGAAATATTGGTAGATGGCAGTCTAGAAATTATGCACATCATTTTCTTTTCTTCCTATGTTGAAAATATTGGTTGCTATGGCAACAAATAGACAGAATTTCAAGATTTCTGATTCTAGTTTGTACGTTTTTTCACTATAATTTTTTTATTTCTTAAAGTATTTTCTTCAAACTTTAAATATAAGTTTCTAGTCATCAACCACATCATATGTGACAAGGTTTACAATTCTAGCACAAAAATAATCAGAATTTCCTCACTTGAACTTAGAATTTTCATGAAAAAAAAAATATTGTTTTTTTTTTACTTTCTTTTACTTCAAATTCAAAATAAACATTCATTATCAACACCTTCATTACTGATTGTTCTTTGTTACACTCTTATCGTGTATGACGTCTGTACGTGTAAATATAGCGCCAATTTCGAAAGTTTGTCTACAACTGTTTTCTCACATTTTCTGTCGATATAGTACAGAAATCACAAAATGACAATAGTTTCTTGGTAAAAATATTAATAAAACACTGTATTTGTACACTGAAGCTGCCAATATTTTATACACGTGTTTATGTTTACAAAGTACTGGTACCGAATCGTACGCCGCCGTATAAGCGAGGACGAGAACCATACAGAGTTGTGCATTACCGTTTCCGGGTCAAGTTTGTGCAATGGAGACATGAGAAAAGACGGGAATATCGGATTAGACTTTGATCGTTACGCCACGATAGGAAATATATTCGGAGTGTATTTTTGTGGTAATGTTTATTGAATATTTTGTTTTAACAGATGCAATTAAATTTTCTACGCATCTAAGCGTTTCTGATGCAATTTAGTCGTGAACATTTCAATGTTTACGTGAATCAGATCTTGTCAGATTTCAAGTCACCGGCAATTTCGGGAGTTGTATCAAAATAAGTTGCCAACATTTCCAAAATTGACTGTTGTTATTACATACATTTATCAATGCTGCGTTGATCGAGACCATGTTTTTAAAATTATATTGAGTTTTGGCTGAGTTTCGACGCCAGATATGAACTTTGGCAGTATCAAAGCGCTGGATTCCAAGCGCACAGAAGACGGTACCCTTGTTATAGCTTATAGTATAGGGGAATAATGAAAATCGTCGAAACGTGTCAGAATATTGTTTTTATGAATTTTTATTGTGCAAATCAACTTGCATTGATATTTTTAATGGGTTGTAGCAGGGCCTTCGGGGGTAAGGGGGCCCGGTATAATGTCAGATCACAGCGTCTTCCCCCTGTGACCGGTAGGGGACTTATGGATTGCTTGCAATACTATGATAATTGCTTGTTAATTTATTTCCTAACATTGTGCGGTTTTGTTGTGTCTTGCAAAGACTTGCACACAAAAACCTACGTAAGTTTCATCGTTTGAAACAGTTATTTCGACCATCATTGTATGATTCCATCTACCATTTCTTGAAAGTATTTAGGGCCAAAATATGTTGACGTCAGCGAAGTCTTTGTTCTTGTTTTTTTTTTTCACAAAGTGATTGATCATATCAACTAGATGACTCCTAATGATTTTAGCATCACTAGGTCAAATGTCAATGGCACCGTATCTTTAAATGTCAAAAGGGTTCCCGCGCATTATCTTAGAAACTATATATTACAAAGTTTTCTCATTTTATATACTGTTTGGTTATTACTAGTAAATGGCCCATATTGATTTTAGGGTCAATAGGTCAAAGGTCAAGGTCACGGGGCCTTGAATGGTAGTATTGTTTCCGCTAATGTCTTCAAAGCTATTTATTACAAAGTCTAAATATTTCAAATAATGATTTGTCATAATAATAAGATGACCCATATTGATTTTGGGGTCACTAGCTCAAAGTTCACAGTGGCTTTAAATGTATCACAAAATCTTCATATGGCACATATTGTTTGACCTCAATTGATTTAAGGGTCACTGGGTCAAAGGTAAAAGTCGCAGGGGCATTTAATGTATGGATTTTGCTCATTGTCTTGAAAGCTATTCATCACAAGTCTTCATATTTCACATATTGATTGATCATAAGAAGTAAATGACCCCAATATATTTTTGGATCATATATTCAAGGTCACAGGGTTCTTAAATTGAAGAATGGTTTCCGCTTACTGAAAACTATTTATCACAAAGTCTTCATATTTCTCATATTCATTGGTCATACCTATCAGGTGACGACTCCTATTGATTTTGGGGTTACTACGTTAAAACTCAAGGTCACAGGGGCCTTCAATGTCAGAATGGTTTCCGTTTATTATCATGAAACCTATTTATTAAAAATGATTTCATATTTCACATATTGAATAATACATGTAGAAGATGACCTCAATTGATTTTGGGTTAACTGGTTTAAAGGTCAAAGTCACAGGGGCCTTAAATGTAAATATGGTTTCTGCTTATTACCTTAAAAACTTATTAAACAAACTCGTCATATCTCACATATTAATTTATCATTATGAGGTCACTTGTTCGAGTGTCGAGGTCTTTTTATTTCACATATTCATTGGTTTTTACCAGTAGGTCATTATTTTTCTTTTTTCCATAACTGAACACTTCCATGTACCAATTTATGGCAAGCTTCTATAGCAAAATAACCATTAATGTGAATCAACGTCTAGAAAGAGGGTGTATGTTTTGTTCGACATTTCTTATTTGTTGTCGAGACTGTTTGATATTACCTTTAAATCCTTGCATCACAGCTCCTTAAGAACTCCTATCTCAGGCTCAGATACAAGAATAACTTGTTTTTGCCTTACGCCTTCTGGAAGGATTTTCCTTGCAAAAGGCGTTTTGGAATATCCACCGAGTAGAATATAAAATTTAATTGCTTTCTTCTTTGTCTTTACCCATTTTATGAATTATTGCGGGAATTAAATCCTTCAAAGACTTTTAAAAGTAGTCTTCCATGCTTTTCCTTGATGATTTTGTCATTTCTAATGTCAATGTGTTAATCTAAGTAACTGATTTGTTCAATTAAAGGTATGACCGAGATTGGCATTTCTATATCACGCATTCAGAAATATCTAAAAATTTGTGTCTCGTCATAAAATCCCCGTAGTTCTATCACAAAGTCATAAAAATGAGAGATCATGAATCTATTGCAATTGTTGCCTAATTTATATTTATTTTTCTTCAAAGGTCTGTAATATAACCACCGTCAGTTTTAATCTCAGACTGAAGCAATATTTCACAATTGTCACTAGATGCTATGAAGGCAAACCGTTGTTAATCTCCTAACAAAATTCACAAAAATAAAACTTGTGTCATTTCAATCTGCTAAATACATGTATGCGTTATAAAATAAGTCGCTGCTGTCTCAGAGCTGCTGACAAAAAACTTTTTTTCACGTCTTTAATCTGGTTTTAAGGAAATATTTCAGTTCCATATTTACATTATCTGATACAATAACTGCTAAAGATTTTTTCAAATTCTCAAACGTTTGAAAGCGTTCGGTTTGGTTTACCAACATCACAAGCAAATGGTTAATATGTTGTAAAATATATGCGCACAGCCTCAAGTTTGTTTCCTCTTCAACCCTTAATACATAACGGATAATCAATTTCTGAGATTTTTTTTATTGTTTAAATACCTGAAGTTTGAATTCTCATATTTTAAGGGAATTGGACATATATTATCCTTCGGCATAGAATTCAAGTTATCAAAGACAAAGCCTCCTTTAAGAGTGCAGCTGTTCGGTCTAATTAACGATTTGTATAATTTGTAGCAGTGTATGTTTTAAAGCATTTATTGTTGTTGTTTTTTGCACTGAAAGGAAATCCGTATCTTTCATTTTCTACCTAAATAGCTAACACTAATAGTTAAGATTTTGTACCACCCGTTCTCTTTATGTAGTTATAAAATCAATTTTATTCAAAACCAATGCTTTAAATTTTAATTTTAAAAACTTTAAAAGGATAAAGATATTGCCTCTACCTTATCTTCACGGTTAATATATACTGCCTTTCTAACATACGTCAATACAGTATTTCATGCAAATCTATTTTTCAATGCGACAAAAGAGCAGGCGTTATCTAAGCCTAGGATTTACACGCGTTATGAATATTATCAAAAGTCCATTGTAATGAAAATGACATAAAACAATTCTAATGGGTAATTTGAATACTTTAACAAGTATATATATATATATATATCTTCTAAAATTATTAGCAGAGAGTTATTTATTTTACAGAGTTAAGTCACAGGTGGTTCGGCTGATTTAAACTATGAAGGATAAGATTCTCTGAAACTTGGTATTTCGACTTTGTAGTAACACTGTGCAACAAGATTAAGAAATATAGTTATTAAAACATGGGATCAAAGTCAAGCATATTTGTTGCAATTGATTTTGGAACGTCATATTCTGGATTTTCGTATATGTTCAGTACAGATCCGGACACAATCATAACAGCTAGTCATGGATCAATTTTACCAGATGATCGTGTGCCGACAATACTACTCCTTAATCCGGATAACTCACTTAATTCTTTTGGAATTATTGCTGAGGATAACTATGCAAAACTTATGATGTCAGGTAAACATACCGGATATCGCCTTTTCCGTGAATTCAAAATGGCACTCTATGCCAACAATGAGAGATTAGATTCAGATATAAATATATATGATACTGAAAACAGACCGATGAATGCGATGACCGTGTTTTCAATGGTAATTAATCTCTTTAAAGAACTTGTTTTGAAATCAATAAAACAAAGCAAATTAAGTCAGACATATTCTTTTGAAAATGATATAATTTGGATGATAACAATACCTGCAATTTGGTCGGACTCCGCCCGGCAGTTCATGCGAAGAGCAGCTACTTTAGCTGGGATTGATGAAAAATGTTTGCGACTAGTTCTTGAACCAGAAGCAGCAGCTTTATACTGTAAAGACCAACAATTGCATATCAGCACTAGCCCCCGAGGAAGTTGTCTCAAACCAAAATCAAAATACATTTTAGCTGATCTCGGAGGTGGTACAGTTGATTTTTGTGTGCATGAAGTTTTACCTAAAGGGGAAATCCGAGAACTTTATCGTGTGGTCGGCGGTGTTTTTGGGGGATCCAACGTTAACAATGAGTTTATACAATTTCTCATTAAATTATTTGGTGCTCCTGTTATGAAAAAATTCAAGAAAACACAATATTATGATTATCTCATGTTGACGAGAGGTTTCGAACATGTAAAAAATACATTTGATTCAGGACACACGAATACGTTTGTTATAGGTATTCCAATAACATTGATTCAGATGGCCGAGGAAGATTCAGATAGCAGCGTAGAAACATTAGTGAAACAGTCAGTATACGCCTCTTGTGTTGAATTTAGGGATGGAAATAAATTTTGTTGCAAAGAAGAACTTATGGAGACGTTCTATAAATCATCACTTCATGGTATAATAACAACTTTAAATGAAATAAAATCCTGTTGCACAGAAAACGTTGACACACTGTTAATTGTTGGCGGGTTTTCCGAGTCTCAATATCTGAGAGAGTTTATTAAAAGGAAAGTACAAATCAAAGACCTTGTTCTTGCAAAAGAACCAAGACTTGCTGTGTTGAAGGGTGCATTGAAAATGGGACTTAAACCAAACACCATCATTTCGAGAAGAGCAAGATACACATATGGTTTCCGTGTAGCGGTACCATTCAATAGAAATTTACATCCGCAGTCTCTAAAATTTAGGAGGGAAGGAAAATATTTCTGTGATCGCATATTTTCTAAAGTTATAGAAAGAGACATGGATTTGAAAGTAGGCCAATCTTTCAAAGTCAACGTTAATGAAGAAATTCCAACCAACAAAAATATGAATTTGTCTATAGCTTTGTATCGAAGTCCAAAAAAGAACCCTACATTTTGTTTAGAATCAGACGAGGAATGCACTGAAGTCGGTACAATAAATATAAAAGCACCACGAGAAGGATGGCCAAGCCGCTATAATATAGATCAGTTTCTCATAGCAGACGAAACAGAACTTAAAGTGAAAGCTATTGACAAAACAAATGGAAGGGAACTTCAGACCAATGTCACTTTTTTGTGATAATTTGACTGTTAAATTGTGTATGAATCAACGTTATGAACTACGTTTAAATCTGTACAATTCTGATATTTTGTCACAACCTTGATAAATTTTCGTCAAATGTAAAAATATCTAGGTGGCTTATCTAACTTTATATTTTCAGATGCCTAACGTTCGTATAGCCATCTGGTCAAAAATTGACTGTGCCAAACGTTCAGGGATCACGTAAATAAATATTGGCCACTTAAATTATGAGTATTATAACTTGCCTGACGTCAAACATATTGTAACGCAAGCTTTTTCCATCAGTTTTCTGTTATATGTGTGTATGAATGTACTCTTTTTTAAAAGATTGAAACAATATTCAATCTGAAACTTGATTTATGGAAGACAGTTTGCGAGAACCTGTGCCGGGAAATTCGTGGAAAAGTATTGGTATATCAAAATATGGCGAATTTATTGCCTTTATTTGTTGTAAATGTCAAATTGAATCATTATAACCTGTATCTGTATTTACGAAAATAAATATTGTAATGAATAAAGATAGTAGTGTTTTGTTTACCTACCTATAAGCCGGTGCTAGGGGGCGTGAGGGATGTTGCATTTATTCATTATCCCTCATGACATTGTACAGATTCAATCAAACCGAGTCTGCAATTCTTATGTTATTTTGTTGTGATTAATGCTTCCGAGGGATCACTTTTTTTCGAGAATTCTATACTCGTGTTGAACATTAAACAGGACACAGGAATTATCCCAGCAAACTGGTAAAAAGCCAATGTCACCCCACTCTATAAAAAGGGAGAAAAGGGCAATACTGCCAACCAGAAAGCTATATCCCTCACCTGTGTCCTCTGTAAATTACTTGAGCATGGGTTTAGAAAAACAATGGATATGTGAAACTCAGCTGCTAAAACTCGTAGGAGACCTATCAAAAAACTTAATACAAGGCCATCAGACTGATTTAGTTCTTTTAGATTTCCCGAAAGCGTTCGATAAGGTAAACCATCTCAAACTCATATACAAACTGCATCAACACGTCGTCCAAGCTAAATCATTCTTGATAGGTCGCTGCCAGTCCGTTGTAATAGATGGGAAAAAGGTCCCTGTAACATCTGGCGTCCCCCAAGTGTCTGTCCTAGGTCCCCTTCTCTTTCTGTTGTATATAAATGACCTTCCTGAAAATTAAGTTTCACAGGTCCGGTTATTCGCCGATGACACTGCTGTTTACATAGGTGTCAATAAAAATTCCCAAGAAAGGATCTTACAACAAGACTTTGACCGGTTACAGCTATGGAAAATCAAATTGGACATCGAATTCAACCCCTCTTAGTGCACTATGCTTAATTTCCCCAAGTCAAAACACCCATTCAAGTCAGTATATTCACTACATGGCCAAGTCCTAGAAAATGTCAAAGACGAAAAATACCTGCATGTCCTCCTCTAATCTTAATTGGAACAAACATGTCAATCAGGTAACCACTAAGGCTAGTAAAACTCTAAACTTTCTTAAAAAAAACATCCCCTCTAAAGGGAATTTGCTTACAAAACCCTGGTGAAACCTCAGTTTGAATATGCCAGTTCTGTCTGGTGTCCTTACACTAAGCAGAACATAAACAAAGTTGAAATGATCCAGTGCGGAGCTGCGCGATAGGTTACTAAGGACTATTTTTTCATACATCAGTGCCTCCTCTATGTATGATAAGCTAGGTTTGCGCTACCTGGAAAAAAGGGGAACTGATGCCAGACTCCTAATGTTTTACAATATTGTGCATGGACTGGCTGCAGTGCCCATACCCCCTTATGTCCAGCACTCCCTCCGTCTAACACGACACTTACGCCTTCTTTCCTTCAGGCATATTCCCACTCTATTTTATTACAAATGTACTACAAATATTCTTTTTTTACAACAACTATAGTCATCTGAAACTCACTGCCATATGAGCCTGTGCAGGTCCCGACCCTGAACCAGTTTAAACAGGGATTGACCACTCTTCCCGTCGTGGTAGGTAGGTTAGGTAGGTAGGTACGTAGGTAGGACATCTTCTTTGCAAAACAAGATAATTTTAAATCTTTTCTGATTGCTTTACACGACTCGTTTTTGTTCAAAATACGGGTTGAAAAAGTGTTCGCGGAATCAAAATTATAGAAACTGTGTAGTCGCTAAAGAGCATACGCTTGAAGTAAATCCGAGTCAATAAGTATGTACATGACATGTCTGGAAATTTAAGAAGTAAGAGCAAAAACTACTGAATTTGCCTCCCTGCCGACGTTTTGGGTTAAACTTGAACCGGTTATCAATAGTTGATTATGGAACGCCTGGACTGTCTTATGTTAAGAATGAATGATATACCCGGTTAAATGTCTTTCTGTTGAGTCCGAGATACAAAATGCTGGGTGGAAATCCTAATGTGCTCAGTTATTGAAGTGCTATGTTGTGTGCTGACTGTATTTTATTCAGTCAAGTCAATGTATTGTCGGGTGCATAAGTCGTTATGTTCAGTTCTTAAAACAAACAGGCATGTGGTAACACAATCATGTTGAGATAAAAAGATATGTTGTAGGGTGTTACAGTTATTATGTTCGGTTATAATAATATGCTGTTTGGTGCTCTTCTCATCATGTTCAACCATGAAAATAAACAGTTGAGTGGTACTATCATTTTGTTTGGCTGAGGCAGTGTATTATTGGGTGATACTTTTATTATTTTCCGTTGCAATGACATGCTGTTGGGTGCTTTATTCCTTCTGTTCAGTCGTGAAATAGAACTGTTAAATGGTACAATCATTATCTTAAATGGTACTATCATTATCTTGTGTGCTGATTATATCTTCTTCAGTCAAGTCAATGTGTTGTTCGGTGCTAAGGTCGTTATGTTCAGTGGTTTTTTGGTACTATCATTATGTTAAGTTCAGATGATATACTGTTCGGTGCAGAGGTCATTATGTTCAATAGTGAACACAAACTGTTGTGTGATACCACAATTATGTTGGGTTCATTCGGATATTTTCGGGCAACAAGATGGGAGCGACTAATTTCCATAGGTCACGTCGAGGCTAATGACCACTAAATTGCCAAAACAATTTTCTTCTCTGTAAATATCATCGGGGGCTTAAAAAAGTTATTTTCATAAATTGGACTTTAAAATACCCAATGGGTAACAGTACATCATCTGAACTGAACATAATGACTTCTGCACCGAACAGTATATCATATGAACTGAACATAATGACGGTATCACACAACAGTTTGTGTTCACTACTGAACATAATGACTTCTGCACCGAACAGTATATCATCTGAACTGAACATAATGACGGTATCACACAACAGTTTGTGTTCACTACTGAACATAATCACCTCTGTACCGAACAGTATATCATCTAAACTGAACATAATGATAGTATCACACAACAGTTTGTGTTCACTACTGAACATAATGACAACTGCACCGAACAGTACATCATCTGAACTGAACATAATGATAGTACTATTCAACAGTTCTATTTCACCACTGAACAGAAGGAATAAAGCACCCAACAGCATGTCATTGCAACTGAAAATAATAAAAGTATCACCCAATAATACACTGCCTCAGCCAAACGAAATGATAGTACCACTCAACTGTTTATTTTCATGGTTGAACATGATGAGAAGAGCTATTTTAACCGAACATAACAACTGTCACACCCTACAACATATCATTTTAACTCAACATAATTGTGTTACCACATGCCTGTTTGTTTTAAGAACTGAACAGAACGACTAATGCACCCGATAATACATTGACTTGACTGAATAAAATGTAATCAGCACACAACATTACATTTCAATAACTGAGCGCATTTGGATTTCCACCCAGTATATTGGGATTTTGGCCCAGCATATTGTATCTCGGACTCAACAGAATGACATTTAACCATGTATATCAGTCATTCTACACATAAGACAGTCCAGGCGTTCCATAGTTGATTGTTGCTTTTCCTGTTACATTTCTTTGCATGCGCTGTCTGTCAAGCAAAGTCCGACCTGGACAAAAAGTGAATTTTCGCTCTAAACCGTATAAACTGGTCGGATGTTGTATATTTTTGGAAAGCGAAATCATTTTTTAGTAGAATTCTTTTTATTTGGTGAATATTGGTTGAAAATTAACATAGATCTGGGCGGTAAAATAAAGCCTTGTGATAGTTCCGCTGGCGATCCTTTCTACCTTTACTATATTTTTAGTATATATAGATGAAATTGTTAAAAACAACTTTCCTTTTGTTGTTTTATTGAAAATTAGATGTTTTTAAATCATTTTGAGTAAAATGTATTTTATTTATAAAAAAATAAGTGGGCGTGGTCATGTACATGTATACTATTCAAGCCACGAACCGACTGCCTGTGGCTAATGCATGAGTAAAAATAGCGAGTTCATATAAACTTTATTGTTAATGTCCAAAAGCGACAACAAATTATTGATTGCTTGGGTAGGGCAATGAAATGAACAAAAACTGAAAAGATTTCTTTTGAATGAAATGTTTTGTTTTATTACATTTTGTTCTTCGGAAGAGTGGTGTTCAACAATTTAATCATTATAGTGTTTTGTTAACATAAATTGTTTTAGGGAAAATATGTAGAGAACAATTCAAAATAGACCAACGTTGTCATTTACATTTTGTACAATATATTTTTCTTTTGATCGTTTAATGTTCAGATTTCAAAGCTTGATATAAATCTACCATGTTTTGCGTATTCATTTTAAATTTAATTGTTTCCAAATTGAAAGGAAAATGTAATTAAACATTATACTTATTTTAGGGTCATTAAATCACAATAAAAACTGTTATAAAAGAGTTAATGACTATTCTTACAGTCAAGATACGTAAACACACTCCCAATTTTTATGTAACACTATATACAATATTATGTTTGTTACCTACTGGAGTATATCATTTTAATTACAATAAATACTCGAGGACAAGGTGATCATTAAAATAATGACGGGTTTAATTTTTACATACTTTATTTGCCACAGTA